GCGGAGCTGCCGGATGCGGATCCTTTCCAGCTGAGCTGTGCCATGTCCAGCCCTTCCCACCATACCCAGGGGGGTGCAGCACCCCCGGGGCAGGGGGACACGCACCTCTGTCCCCACATCTGTCCCCGCTTCTGGGAGAGGGTTCAACGACCGAGATGGACAACGAGAAGCCCCCTCCAGACCCCCCCGTTGAGACACCAGGATGCAGCCACAAGAACCGAGGCTGAACGGGCAGACAGAGGGACGGTGGAGCCACGTGCCGCATCCATTTCCATCTCCCCCAAAAGGAGAGGGGGCCAGGGGGACCCTTGCACCCCACGCCCCACGGGCAGCCCCACAGCCCCTCCCACCCCCGCGGGGACCGTGCTCCAACCACAGCCAGCCCAGCCCACAGAAAGGAGGTCAGCACTGAGCATCGTTAGGTAACGAGGGCTGGGACCAAACCGGTCTCTGCAGCAGCAGCACGGGGGTGGGACATGGGGACACAGGGTCGGGACACATCCCCTGGGCAGGCACACCCCACTGGGATGGGGTCTGCAACCTTCCCGGCCCCCTCATACCCTTCGAATCCACGCAGAGTTGCGGGACCTCCTCTCCCCGGGGCTGGGGGGACAAATCCGGGTGGGCTGGATAGAAATAAACCCTTCCTGCCGAGCATGGCTGCAGTGTCCCTGTCCCTCCCTCTGCCCTCCTGCTGCTCCAGCCCCGTGCCACATCCCCAGCTCGGCAGGAGGGACAAAGCTCCACCGTGGGGGTTTTGCTGCCAGGGCCGAGTCGGTGAGAGGGTAGTGGCATTGTCACCCAAAGTCCCCCCAGAGGGATCACAGCAGGCACCTGGACTGGTGGGGAGGCTGCATCACAGCACACACACAGCCCCAACCCTTTAGGAAGATGAAATCACTTGCAGGCATTGGGTTTTAGGGTATGGGAGACTAAAAGTGTCCCTGCCAGGGGGACAACAGCACTCCCCTCTCAAGGCCCAAACGGGCAGGGCCAGCAGCACAACAAGCTGCTCACTACAGACCCAAGGGCTTGATGAAGAATTCACCCAAGCACATATTCCCCCCCCAAAAAAATCAGCTCCCCCCCAAAAAAAATCAGCCCCATATCTGCTATCAGTAGGCTGGGGAGGGCAAAGCAGAGGGAGCTTTACCACCATGCCAGGGCAGGAGGGTACAACAGGCATTGCACAGAGGGTGGCAATATCTCCTTTTGTGTGACAGGGAAGAACACAACATCGAGACGTTTTCCTCCACCCCAAGGTGGCTGCCACCCTCCAGCCAGGGCCTGGGTCACACACAGAGAGCTTTCAACACCACCAGCACGTTCCTTGACATATTTTAATGGGTGTCTCACAGGGGGTCAACCCCTGACCCAAGCAGAGAGGCCTAAAACGGCTCTAGAAGTAAAAACCTGAGCATACAGTCACACCAGCGCCGAGGGAACAGGCAGCCTGCCCCCTCCCCGAGCAGGAGGACAGAGTGAGGACACCCAGGGTTCTGCTGGCTCCTTCTCCTCATTAGTGCTCCAGCCAGGAGAGCTGCCAGGGGGAGCGGGAGGCTTGGCAGGCTGTGCTGGGGCAGGTTTTTCTCACGAAGCCGAGGACAAAGGCGCCTTGACGGAGCCGCCCGACCCCCGCTCTCAGCTCGACGCCTCCATCTCCACGACCTCGTCCAGGGGCTGGGTCTGCACCTCCACCTTCTGGGGGGGGATGTAGGAGCCCATGCCCGCGGCACGCTCGGCCTCCTCCTGCGTGTAGGGTGCCTCCCGCAGCTGCTTCAGCCTGGGAGGAGGTGGAGGGGAGGGCTGAAGCCTTTCACCCCAGCTCCAAAACGCAGGACTGGCCCAGAACTGATGGCACCACCCGCCTCACCCCGATGGGGCGGGGCAGGGGGCCACAGCCTGCTCCAGGACAGGGCATGACACAGGCCCATGAGGGGCTCAGGGCCCCCCCAGGCCCCCCTCTTACCTCTTCTTGTGCACCTTGGACCTGAAGTGCTCCTTCATGCTGTTCAGGTCCACGAAGTAGCGTCTGGGGGAATAAGAGCCAGGGGTCAGGGGGGCCCGAGAGGGGAGAATGAGGAAAGCGCTACCAAGGAGCCAGTCCCCCCATGGGAGAGTTACCTCTGAGAGCAGGACAAGATCCACTCAAGGACTGGGGTCCCTCCCAAGATGAGGACAAGACTCACCTGAGGGGTTAGAGCCCATCTCGCCAAGAC